TTTGTCCCATTTTACGACCTTTCTTGCCACCACTGTTAAGTGAACCCCTGCAGGTTGATAGTTTAGTAACCCAGTTGTTAAGTGGGATCCAGGTTCCCCATTGATCTTGGCTTGTCCAGAAGGTCGCGAAAAGGGGATCGGGTGGCCTTGGGACACAGCAACCGTAATAAATGTGAGTCAAAGAGTCTGAATTTGGACCACGTGACCATCGGGGATGCTGGACATGAAGTCGTTAACTGTGAAAAACAGTCGTAAGTCCCTTTTTTTCAGTGCTGTGACAACTACGGTATGAACGGTCCCTAAGCGAACTTCTGTCAGGCGAGACTAGCTGTGGTTTTGCAAGCAAAGCTGACATGTTTTCCTCTTCTCCAGCCCAGAAAGAATATTCTCTTTCCACTAGGCAACACTGCCTTGGATCATTCGTCAGCTCCATTTCTCCAGAGCAAAAGAATTTATTTTATTTTATTTTCTTCCCTCTCAACCCCCCGGGGCTGCTTCATGTCAGCCGGATCAGACGGCCTTTATGGCAGCGCCCTTCGCTCTGGTAATCTAAGAAGATTAAACGTGCATAAATTGGCCTCTTGACTGGTGGCTTATTTTTAGCCTGGTGTGGCTGTGAAGCGCGCAGCCGGCGTGCAGCACACTGGCTGCGAGCGATGGAGTCGTGGCAGATGCACAAAAGGCACAACGCAACAACCAGCCAGCCCCACTGGGATTGGGGTGGACTTGCATGCACGACCGTCAGACATTTTGCACCCATGTTTTGCCTAATTGAATGAATTTTGTCTAATTCAGTGTTTTTCAACCTTGGAAATTTCATCTTGGGGGACTTCAATTCCCATAATTCCCCTGCCAGCATGGTGGACTTCAACTCCCATAATTCCCCAGCCAGGTTGGTTTAATTCTGGGAGTTGAAGTCTACCAAGCTGGCTGGGGAATTCTGGGAGTTGAAGTCTACCAAGCTGGCAGGGGAATTCTGGGAGTTGAAGTCTACCAAGCTGGCTGGGGAATTCTGGGACTTGAAGCCCAGCAAGCTGGCTGGGGAATTCTGGGAGTTGAAATCTACCAAGCTGGCTAGGGGATTCTGGAGTTGAAGTCTACCAAACTGGCTGGGAAATTCTGGGAGTTGAAGTCTACCAAGCTGGCTGGGGAATTCTGGGAGTTGAAGTCTACCAAGCTGGCTGGGGAATTCTGGGACTTGAAGTCTACCAAGCTGGCTGGGGAATTCTGGGACTTGAAGCCCAGCAAGCTGGCTGGGGAATTCTGGGAGTTGAAATCTACCAAGCTGGCTAGGGGATTCTGGGAGTTGAAGTCTACCAAGCTGGCTGGAGAATTATGGGAGTTGAAGTCCAGCAAGCTGGCTGGGGAATTCTGGGACTTGAAGTCTACCAAGCTGGCTAGGGGATTCTGGGAGTTGAAGTCCATCATGCTGGCTAGGGAATTTTGGGAGTTGAAATCTACCAAACTGGCTGGGAAATTATGGGACCTGAAGTCTACCAAGCTGGCTAGGGGATTCTGGGACTTGAAGTCTATCAAGCTGGCTGGGGAATTCTGGGAATTGAAGTCCACCATGCCGGCTAGGAAATATTGGGAGTTGAAGCCCACCAAACTGAAAGTTTCCAAGCCTGAGAAATACTGCTTTAAAATTAACCAATGTATATATTTTTTTCTGATTCATTGCTTTGACAGGTGGCCCTGGGCCCATCATTTCTGTTGCTAAGAGAGTGGCGTCCCATTTTACAGCCTCTCTTACCAGAATTCTTAAGTGGATCACTGCAGTTATTCAATTAGTACCACGGTTGTTAAGTGAATCTGGCTTCCCCGTGGACTTTGTTTGTCAGAAGATCACAAAAGAGGATCACACGACACCCCCCCCAGGGACACCGCAACCGTCATGAGTCAGTTGCCAATCATCTGAATTTGGATCACGTGACCCTGGGGATGCTACAATGGTTGTAAGTGTGAAAAACGGCCATAAGTCCCTTTTTTACAATGCCTTTGTAACTCTGAATGGTCACTAAATGAAACTGTTGCAAGTTGAGGACTGCCTGTGTTATTGTTGTTTTTTTACTGGTTGCCATCTGGAATCATCGGACATTATACAGGTAGTCCTCAACTTACAACAGTTCATTTAGTGACCATTCAAAGTTACAACGGAGCTGGGGGAAAAAGTGATTTATGACTGCTTTTCATGCTTACAACCACTGCAGCATCCTCACGGCCAAGTGACCAAAACTTAGGAGCTTGGGCACTGACTCATATTTATGACGGCTGCTGCGTCCCGGGGTCATGTTTCGACAAGCAAACTTGATGGGGAAAGCCAGATTTACTTAACAACGGTGCCCTAATTTAACAACTAAAGTGACTCACTTAACAACTGCAGAAACGACGGTCGTAAAACGGGACAAAGTTCATTGCGCAAGTGTCTCGCCTACCCCCAGAAATTTGGGGCACAACTGTGGCCATAACTCAAGGACTACCTAAGAAAGAAACAAATACACAGCCCCTCTGTGCCGGTGTAAACCAGATGCCATATTTCTCCTTTGAAATTAAAGCCGCTTCGGGAATTCTGCAGGAGAAAAATCTGCGCTTTCTGACTTTAAAAACTTTCTGCACGCTTTTAAGTTAGCTTCATCTGTCTTACCTGCACAGGTAACCATCTGGACACTGCCGTCTGCATTAATCTTTTTATTTTTGTATTTTGTTTATACTTTTTTCTTTAACATACAGAGGTGCTTAGTGAACAGTGCATTGTCTGGGTCAATTTTAATCATCATCATCAGTGGGTGCAAGAAAATTTCACAAACTGACTACCCGGAACGCCATAACCGAGTTGCTAAAATCATTCACTGTGATTGTGCCAAAAGTTTCGATTTTGAGTATAGTAGCAACTACTGGGACCATCAGGTTGAGAAGGTTCTGGAGAATGAAAAAGTCAAGATCTTGTGGGACTTCAGAATTCAGACGGACAGGCACTTGGCCCACAACACACCTGACATAACAATAGTTGAAGAGAAAAAGGGTTGGTTCATTGACATTGCAATACCTGGTGAGGCAGGAATTGAAGACACGCAGCAAGGAAAAATCACAAAGTATCGGGACTTACAAATTGAAGTTGAGCGACTTTGGAAAAAGAAATTGTGTGCTATGCCAATTGCAGTTGGAGCCCTTGGAGCAATACCTAAAGGGCTACCTTGCTATTTGGAATTTATCAGACTTAAATACCCTGATTCTACAAAAAACTACCCTACTTGGAACAGCTTATATCCTCCGATGCTACCTGAACAATTCCTAGGTCCTTGGTTAGGACTCGAGCTGTTGAGCTACTAACCAGCCCCAAAGGCTGTGAATCTCACTAAAGATTAAATAATAATAATAATCACCATCATCATCTTAAGAAAATACTTGGTTGATACCTAGGATGCTGGCAGCAACCTGTATCAACCATAAGCGCCAATCAATTATGTTTGTGATACATTTTTTAATGTTCAGTTGAACGAGTTTCATGTTTAATGACTAAAAGAGATAATAATAATAATATTTAAGCATACATATTAACAATCTTTCAATGCCTAATATTTATGTATACATAATAATAATATTATGTTATGTGACACTATACATAATAGTATTTTCCCAATTTGTACTTTCTACCTCTATTTTCTAACCATTAATAAAACAAATAAAGCAAAAACCTCCAGTGATGAAGTAGCCACAACTTTTGGAGGCCAAGTTGTCTCCCTGGTTCATCGTTCCTTTGATGCTTTCACCGGGCAACTGCATGCTGGCTGGGGAATTCTGGGATCTGAACTCCGCACATTTTTAAAGCAGCCGAAGTTGAGAAGCAGAGCTTTGAAGAAAACCCCCCTGGCATTCATGAGTATCCCAGCGCTAACAACCGCTGTGCCTGTTTTCTCTCCGAAAGTACTGCAGACGCATGAGATGAAGAGAAGAAGCAGAGAAGACGGGAGAGGAGAGGAGAGGAGAGAGGGGTGGAGGAAGGAAGGAAAGAAGGAAGGAAGGAAAGAGGGAGGGAGGAGGACAGAGGAAGGGAGGGCAGAGGTGGTAAGGCTGATCAGGAAGGAAGAGAGCGAGGGAAGGGAGGAGAGGGAATTGATCAGGAAGGGAGGGAGAGTGGAAGGAAGGAAGGAAAGAGGGAGGGAGGAAGGAAGGAAGGAAGGGAGAGAGAGGGAGAGAAAAGGAGAGAGGAGGGTTGATCAGGAAGGGAGGGATGGAGGAAGGAAGGAAGGAAGGAAGGAAGGAAGGAAGGAGGGGGGGTTGATCAGGAAGGGAGAGAGAGGGAGAGAAAAGGAGAGAGGAGGGTTGATCAGGAAGGAGGGATGGAGGAAGGAAGGGAGGGAGAGGGGGGAGGGAAGGAAGGGAGGAAGGAAAGAGGGAGGAAGGGAGAGACAGGGAGAGAAAAGGAGAGAGGAGGGTTGATCAGGAAGGAAGGAAGGAAGGAAGGAAGGAAGGAAGGAAGGAAGGAAGGAAAGGAGAGAGGGGGGAGGGAGGGAAGGACAGAGAAAGGGAGGGTAGAGAAGGTTGATCAGGAAGGGAGGGAGGGAGAGTGGAGGGAAGGAAGAAAGGAAGAAAGGAAAGAAGGAGGGAGGAAGGAAGGGAGAGAGAGGGAGAGAAAAGGAGAGAGGAGGGTTGATCAGGAAGGAGGGATGGAGGAAGGAAGGGAGGAAGGGAGAGAGAGGGAGAGAAAAGGAGAGGAGGGTTGATCAGGAAGGGAGGGAGAGTGGAGGGAAGGAAGGAAGAACAGAAGGAAGAGAAGGAGGGGGGAGGGGATTCATCAGGAAGGGAAGGAAGAAAGGAAAGAGGCAGGGAGGAAGAGGAAGGGAGAGGGGAGGGGAGGAGAGGAGAGAGGGAGAGTTGATCAGGTAGGAATAGAGGGAGGGAGGGAGGAAAGGAAAGAAGGAAAGGAGAGAGGAAGGGAGGTGAGAGGAGAGGAGAGGAGAACAAACTGCCACTACGAATGGTGGCCCCACGCATCCTACCTCTGCCGGGGCACCGGGATGTAGGCCGAATGGTGCAAGGGAGTCTCATCCAGGAGTCGCAGAGCCGTCACTTCTTCCACCACCGGCTGTTTTAGCACCACAGGATTCGGCGTGAGCCTCAGGTGGCCATTGGCAGGCTCCAACTCCGCTGGAAACGCTTTGCCATTACAATGACTGGAACTCTGCAAGAAAGAGTTGGAGGCCTTTAGGGGAACCGGCCCTTTGGGGGTCCAGTGGCATCGATTATTTTTTTCCCCCTCAATGGATGTAGACCCCCATCCCAATTGCACGACTGCGGGCGATTTACAACAATTCACAACTGCCAAAAGAACAAAGTATATAGTCTTAACATGTATAAAACCCATATAAACCTAACAACAAAATTCACAGCTGGGCTCTAAAAGCAATCTAAGCTCAGCATAAGCACCATAAACTTGAAATATAGAGTAACCAAGTTGGAAGAGACCTTGGAGGTCTTCTAGTCCAACCTTCTGCCCAAGCAGGAGACCTGACACCAGACAAATGGCTGACCAATCTCTTTTTTGAAAACCTCCAGGGATGGAACACCTACAACTTACTGATTTATAATTTATACTCCTTGCAGACAGCTGGTCATTTGCATCCTTTTAGTGGGTCGTTGAGGCCACTTGGAGGTCTGCGAGGAGTATAAATCCTTCCGTGCCCCACCATCCAGTCAGAGCTGAAGAAACTTCTTGGATGAGAAGCGAAACGTCTTCAAAAGAAGATTTTTATTTTATTTTATTTTATTTTTATTCATTTGATTTGCCAATCGCTTACAAGAAAAAAATGCCTTTTGGGACAACCATGACCTGGAGGACTGAGAATCTCCATACACAATCCTAGTGGACAGTCACTTAAGCATGAGCCAGTGTTGTGCGGCAGCTGCCAAAAAAAGCTAACACATTCTTGGGCTCCATTAACAGAGGGACAGAATCAAGATCATGGGAAGTGTTAATATCATTTTATAACGCCTTAGTAAGGCCACAATTGGAATACTGCATCCAATTTTGGTCGCCACGATGTAAAAAGGATGTTCAGAGTGCAGAGAAGAGCAAACAAGTTGATCCCATTATAATGGTTGCAGGAACTGGGTATGTCTGGTTTAATGAAAAGAAGGACCAGGAGTGACATGATACAGTAGAGTAGAGTAGAGTAGAGTAGAGTAGAGTAGAGTATATAGAATAGAACAGGAATAGAACAGAAGAGAACAGAACAGAATTAGAATAGAATAGAATAGAATAGAATAGAATAGAATAGAATAGAATAGAATAGAATAGAATAGAATAGAATAGAATAGAATAGAATAGAACAGAATTCTTTATTGGCCAAGTGTAATTGGACACACAAGGAATTTGTCTTGGTGCAAATGCTCTCAGGGTACATAAAAGAAAAGAGACATCCGTCAAGAGTCAAGACTCATCAGGTACAACACTTAATGATAGTCATAGGGTACAATAAGCAATCCAATCATATGAGGAAACAGTCAATATAAATTGTAAGGATACAAGCGACAAAGTTACAGTCATACAGTCACAAGTGGGAGGGGATGGGTAAGGAGTGACGAGAAGGTTAATAGTAATAGTAGTGCAGACTTTGTAATTGTTTGACAGTGTTGAGGGAATTATTTGTTTAGCAGAGTGATGGCGTTCAGGGGAAAAACTGCTCTTGTTCTGGTGTGCAGGGCTCTATAGCGTCGTTTTGAGGGAAGGAGTTGAAACAGTTTATATCCAGGATGTGAGGGGTCTGTAAATATTTTCACAGCTCTCTTTTTGACTCGTACTGTATACAGGTCCTTGATGGAAGGCAGGTGGGTAGCAATTGTTTTTTTCTGCAGTCCTAATTACTCTCTGAAGTCTGTATTTGTCCTGTTGGGTTGCAGAACCAAACCAGACAGTGATAGAGGTGACGATAACAGACTCCATCATTCCTCTGTAGAACTGGATCCGCAGCTCCTTGGGCAGTTTGAGCTTTCTGAGTTGATAGCAGGATTACAATATTTGAGGGGCTGCCACAAAGAAGAGGGGGTCCAATTTATTTTCCAAAGCATCAACAGGCAGGACAAGAAACAATGGATGGGAACTAATCGAGGAGAGAAGCAACTTAGAACTAAGGAGAAACTTTCTAACAGTGAGGACAATCGGTGGAACAACTTGCCACCAGAAGTTGTGGATGCTCCAACACTGGAGGTTTTTAAGAAGAGACTGGACAACCATTTGACTGAAATAGTTTCCTGCCTGAGCAGGGGTTGGACTAGAAGACCTCAAAGGTTCCTTCCACCTCTTGTTATTCTATTCTCTTATTTCTGCAGGGATGATATTCCAAGCGATGAAGCTATCACAGAGAAGACCCCTCTTCGCTCCTGATCCAACGGAATTCTTTTTTTCCCCTAAAAAGCTCCCTTATTTCCGCTCCTCCCCACACCCGGGACGGCTTATGGGGCTTGTAGTCCCTGCAAATCCAGCCAACCCTAAAACCTCTCCCCGAAGGCTGCAGAGACCCTGCCTTTATCTTAGATCAACACAGCAGGTGTAGACAGAAGCAGTGCGCACGCTCGCCCCGGCGCCAAATGAAATTCAGACTCTGGGAAAGGGCTAGCCGATAAGCATGTTGGAACATGGAGCGCAATTCTTCAGCTCTGGCACGGGGGAGTCTGCACCCCATCAGGCTGCGAAAAACAAACACACAGCCTACCACAAGGAGGGCTGGACAAACTCCCACTAAAGATGGCTGCAAAGTGCAGGGATTGTGAGATATTTCGCACAGCCTGCCCGGGCATGCAACAATCCAAAGATCTGGGGTGGGGGGTAATCACTTTTTTCTGGTCTCCCTTACAGAAAAAAATAGCCAGGGATTTCGCACGCCCCTGAATCCGCAAGGCCAGGACAAACATTACATTACATCCCGTTGACACCCAAGCTTAACCGAAATTAAGAGGCATCAACGAACAGCGATATAATTTACAAATATTAAAAGCTCGCTCTGGAACGGAACTCATTTTCTTGGCTACAGTACAAAAGGGGTTTGCCGTCACCCTCTGATGGGATTATGTGTTGACTTCTTACCTTGAAATTTCCTAGTGGACTCTTAATCAAAGACTAACTAGGTACAAACCTTGTTTTTTTTAAAGATAGGCCCAGGATCAACTGTAAATGCCCAGATTCGTGGAGAGGTTGTGGTGTTGGCCTAGAAACCAGGAGATCGTGAGTTCTAGTCCAGCCTTAGGCATGAAAGACAACTGGGTGACTTTGGGCCAATCACCAGGAGACGGTGAATTCTAGTCCCGCCTTAGTCATGAAAACCGGCTGGGTGACTTTAAGACCAATCATCAGGTGACTGGGAGTTCTAGTCCCACCTTAGTCATGAAAAACGTCTGGGTGACTTTAAGACCAATCATCAGGAGACTGGGAGTTCTAGTCCTGCCTTAGGCATGACAACCAGCTGGGTGACTTTAAGACTAATCATCAGGAGACTGGGAGTTCTAGTCCCGCCTTAGGCATGAAAACCGTCTGGGTGACTTTAAGACCAATCATCAGGAGACTGGGAGTTCTAGTCCCGTCTTAGGCATGAAAACCGTCTGGGTGACTTTAAGACCAATCATCAGGAGACTGGGAGTTCTAGTCCTGCCTTAGGCATGAAAACCGTCTGGGTGACTTTAAGACCAATCATCAGGAGACTGGGAGTTCTAGTCCCGTCTTAGGCATGAAAACCGTCTGGGTGACTTTAAGACCAATCATCAGGTGACTGGGAGTTCTAGTCCTGCCTTAGGCATGAAAACCGTCTGGGTGACTTTAAGGCCAATCATCAGGAGACTGGGAGTTCTAGTCCCATCTTAGTCATGAAAACCGGCTGGGTGACTTTAAGGCCAATCATCAGGAGACTGGGAGTTCTAGTCCCATCTTAGTCATGAAAACCGGCTGGGTGACTTTAAGGCCAATCAT